GCTTCTGCTGGGCTGTTCCCGTGAAGGAGGAAATGTGTTGGTGATGCTGCTGCTGGTTTTCCTTTATTTTGACCCTTTTTTTTTTTCTTTTTTTTTTTAATCGTCAGACAGTCACACGGATTTTTCCGGCATATGGTACGCCGGCCGGGTTAACTCATCACTCGCGGAATAATGTATACTTAACCAGTTGCAGTCTTTGGGTTGCTCCTCCTGCTGTTTTTTCTTTTTCTTTTCTCTTTTTTTTTTTCTGCTGCTGCTGCTGGGCTGTTCCCCTGAAGGAGGAGGGAATGAAAAATGACACGTGTCACGTTGGCTATCCGTTACTCCAACGATCCTGCAGAACCTGTGCGGCAAACTACTCTTCTTTTTTCTTTTTTCTTTTTTTGGGCGGCAAATTCTTTTGCCGCACCATACCGCAGCATAATGAGGTGAATGCCTTCTACACCAGATGATTACGTAGGTCGCAAGTTCGAGACCCTTCGAGTTCAACGGCAATTGTCAGGCCATCAGACAAGTTAGGTAGATCCTGTGATAATATCCGACATTGTTGGAACATAGGCAATGAGACTCGCCCCTGGCAGACTCGCACGTTTATTCCTTTCCTTCATTATTTATTAGCACTAAAAGAAGAGTACACAGAAGTTTAGCTAAATCATGTGGCTGATTCTCTCTCTCTCCTGTCTCTTATACACATCTAGATGTGTATAAGAGACAGCACACACACACACAACATACCGACACACACACGCACACACAGTCAGAGAGAGAGCACGCACACACAGTCAGAGAGAGAGAAGGGAGAGGAAGGAGAATACAGTCGAGCGTGTCCTTGGCTGAAAGTTCTGACGTAAGAAGGACGGTAGGAACAACGCAAGATGGGTCGCAGATGCAGGCGAGACGCGGGGATTACATCTGGGCCTAAGCCCTCCTCCGAGCAAGCACGGATTCGGGGGGGGAAGAGGGGGGGAAGGGGGGCGGGGAAGGGGGGGGGAAGGGGGAGGGAAGTCCAAAGACGCTTGAGACAGGATGAATGGTTCACAGAGGAAGAGCGTCGGTCACTAACGAACAGTGTCCATAAGAGGTTCGGGGGAAGAGGATCCGCGGAAGAGGGTCGGGAGAAGAGGATCGGGGGAAGAGGGTCGGGGGAAGAGGATCGGGGGAAGAAGATCGGGGAAAGAGGGTCCAGGGAAGAGGTTCGGGGGACGATGGTCGGGGGAGGAGGATCGGGAAAAAAGGGTCGGCGGAAAAGAGGGTCGCGGGAAGAGGATCGGGGGAAAAGGATCGGGGGAAAAGGATCGGGGGAAAAGGGTCGGGGAAAGCGGGTCGGGGAAAGGGGGTAGGGGGAAGAGGGTCGGGGGAGGAGGGTAGGGGAAAAAGAGGTTCGGGGGAAGAGGGTAGCGGCAAAAGAGGAACAGGGGAAGAGGGTCGGCGGAAGAGGGTAGAGGAAAAAGTGGATCAGGGGAAGAGGATCGCGGAAGAGGCTCGAGGGAAGAGAGGATGGAGGGAAGACGATCGGGGGAAAAGGATCGGGGAAAAAGGGTCGGGGGAAGAGGGTCGGGGGAAGACGGTAGGGGGAAGAGGGTAGGGGGAAGAGAGTAGGGGACAAAGAGGATCGGGGGAAGAGGGTAGGGGAAAAAGAGGATCCGGGGAAGAGGATCGCGGAAGAGGATCGAGGGAAGAGAGGATGGAGGGAAGAGGATCGGGGGAAAACGATCGGGGGGAATGGATCGGGGGAAGAGCGTCGGGGGAAGAGGGTAGGGGGACCGACGTACGAAGAGAGCGTCGGGGAAAGATAAGTCGAGATCGTAAAATGCTGGCAAATGAGAGCGGGTTAATTAACACCACGAAGCACAGCTCCCCTCTCACTTGCCGCCAATTTTTTGCTGCGCCACGTTATCCCCCTACCTCTTCCCGCCATCGGGCGCGAAGTGGCGGGAAGAGAAGGACGGGAAGGAAAGAAAGAGGAAAAACGAGCGCGGGCGGACGAGAAAAGGGGAAGGTAAAAAATAAAAATAAAAATAAAAATAAAAAAGGAAAGTTGGTCCTCAGGGACATCCGTTAAACGATACAGAGAAAAGGGGAAAGAAGACGAAGCCGCTACCCTTCCCTTTCCTTTTCGGGAATGACGGAATTGTAAATGGTCCAAATTTTTTACCTTATGTGTTATAATGCTGGGCGAAGGTCCCACCAGCAAAGAGGGATTTGGATTAAGTTAATCTGGACGAGTTTTCAGCAGAGACGCAGAAAAGCACATTAATCCGTATTTTCTGCACGTCTCCACAAACACGTCCAGATTCAGGCATCCAATCCAAACCTCTTTGTTAGGTACTCAACCTCGCCCGCGGGGTGAGCCTCTTTTCTTTTTTCTGGGGTCAGCCTTCGATCGAAAAGCCTTTACTTGAATTATGAAGGAGCTGTTACTTAAGGGGGGCGGGGGGGAGGGGGGGTGACAAAAAAAACACCAGAATAGGGGGGGGGGAATTTATCAAGGGGAAGAGGGGGATAAAAACTAGGGGAAGAAAAGGGAAAAAAAAAAAAAACAGAAAAAGGTAAAAGAGTCCTCAATGGAGACAGGAGGGAATATTCCTCAAGGAAAAAAGGGGAAGATTGATCAGGGGGGAGAGGGGAGGGGGTGTGAGTGCGCCCCCCCTCCCCCCTCCCCCCCCCCCAGGGGATGTGTAACGGAAGCCACCGTCTTCCCCGAATAGAACGAACAGTCGTTACGGCTGTACTTGGGGCCGCTTTCAGCCCAGATACAGCGATACTGACCGTTCGTTGTTCTATTCGGGGGCAAGACGGCAGGGCGAGACGCCGAGAGGATAAGGAACCGGACGAGGCGGCTTAGCCAAAAAATAGCCACCAGCCGCTGTGCAATTTATGGCTATGCCGAGAGGATCATCCGTTGGTACACCCTTGGACTCTTGAATACGGCAGGGTGCAATTTCTGGATATGCCGCCTGCCTCCTATCGGGGGCAAGACGGCAGGGCGAGACGCTGAGAGGAAAAGGGACCAGAAGAGAGGAGGCAGGAGGCGTAAGAAACGCCAAGGACCCAGAGAGGGAACTGAATAGCAGGATTTGAACCTGCGACCGGTGCAGGTTGCAATTTATGGCTATGCCGCCTG